ACTAGAGGCTGCAGAGAACAGACTAAACAGAAGTGAAGAAGAGAGTTGTGCATTTGCCTTTTCCCAAGCAGAGAGAGAGGCAAGACTTATCAAGAGGCATAAACTGTGTAAATGAAATTTGAAATAATAAAAATGAGAGATTCTACTTTTAATAATAGTGTTAGTGATAGCATATGTAAGGATATTTATTTAAAGAAATGTATGCAAATATTTTTTAACCTTGCAGGATTCCTCTTAATGTCAGTTTGAGATAATTTACCATCGATGACTAAGGTATGACCCACTCGTGAAGGGACAGGCTTTGGGAGCAAGAGCCAGATCCTGTAATGTGATGTACTTTTGTAGACCCTTATGTAGCTGTTAGAGATATGCATATTCCCAAGGGTCTGCCCACACAGGTCACATTGCAGGATTGGGGCTGGGGTGGTACGTGAATAATAAAATGTGCTGGAAGGCCCCTAAAAAACTGCTTGGATATATTAAAAGAAGTAGCACTGAAAACTAGAAGCCCTATTTATAATATGGCTGTGCTCTGCTGGAACATTTGATCTTGCTGTATTTAATTCAGGAAGTCTTAATGGTATGTGCTCAGTGCATGACTGTAATGTCCATTAATGCTAGTGGAACATAAGCATGCATAGAAGGGGGAAAACAAATGCTGTGTCTTCCACGCAGTTGAAATGTTGAGTTAATTTCAGTGATAGGAAGCAACAAAACATAAGAGAAAATTGTTAGAATAGTTCAAAAAACTATTTGAAGAAGGAAAGCCACCAGGCAAAATGCCACCATATTTCAGGGCATGTCAGACACTAATGGCCACCCTCCGGCATGCTGGAGCAGGTGAGGGGCTGAGTGGTGAGGAGTAATGGTCTGCTAACTTGTGTCTGTCTGTCTGGACGTATCTCGTTGCTAGTTTCCTTGTGATTGCTTATATGGAAGGAAATGGCACGTGCCTGCATTACAAACCACAGATTTGAAAAGGTCAATTGAAACTGGAATTTATATGTGAGGTGAGATGCTTAATGTCTTCATTATCAGGTCAACACCCAGAAAATACTTTCTGTTCACTTCATTCATACAGAGGACTCTGAAATGCCCGTAGTCTGCAGGTGAATAGTAAATGGCAGTGTGCATTGCATTACTTTTCAGAAAAACCATTCCTAAGCACAGGAATGCTGTGAAGGCTCCAAAAGGGTTTTTGTTGGTGTTTGTTTCACCCTCTTCAGCTTTTTGTTTTGGTTTGGTTTTTTTGTTTTTTTAATGTTTATGCATTAAGGTTTATGAGCCTGGCCTTTTCTTTGCAAAGCCTTCCATCCTGCTGCAGGATCTTAACAGCTTTTAGCACTGCTGTAAGGGTTGGCAAAAGGCTGAAGGCAGGTGGCCTCGAGTGGAAACGCTGGTGCCTGTTTGTGGAGCAGTTGCCTGTGCACTGCTCTTCTAATGAGCCCTGACCCAATGAAGGCACCGAGGTGCGCTGATTGGAGAGATTTAATTTGGCCTCCGATCCTGCAGTGGAATGTCAAGGGAATGTTGTCTGCCTTTGTGGGCCAGTGTTCACCTCTCCTAAGAGCGGGATCTAACTGGTGTTAGGAAAATAGCTGTCCCAGGCTCTTCTAAAAGCCATACTGAGAACATCACCTCCAAAGAACAAGTGAGATCCAATCCAGAGTCCTAATACAGATCCAATAAATCCAGATTCTCTTACTCTCACAGTCTATTTAATTTAGTCTCACCTTTAATGTAATCACACTGATGTCATGCTTTTTATAAAACTGGTGACCTTTTTTCTCTTCTGTCTTGAACTGTATAATTTGCAAATGAACTGTGAGCCTCCCTTTATGCCTGAGTTGCTGAAGAAGTTTGTTAACTGTATGGGAACCCTTTCCACAGCCCATACCTGGTCCCTTCTTTGGGGAACCAGACTGAAGAAGGCGGTCAGCTGGCAACTTTATTCTCCGCTTTAATAACAAGTTTGATAACAGCTGCAATACTAGTGGCAGTGTCTCATGTTGGGCATATATTTGTGTAGCTTTATGTTGTCCCCTCCCACGATCACAGACAGTTGGCTTGACTGTAGCAGACATCTCATATATGCCGTAAGGGAACAGTTGGAAAAATTGAAGCAGCCACTCTTGTACTGCAAGTTGAGCATTTTTGCCTCCCTTGTATGGAATTTTTTTCCTAACCAAAGGACTGTATTCCTAGAATCTCATCCATTAATTTTTAGGATTCATTGCATTTTATTGAGGCTTGTAGGCTAGCCCTGTTTCAGATAATGTATCGTTACATCCTCTGCAGTCAGAGGTGACTCTTGCTTTACTGCTCTTTGGCAATATGGAAATAGTGTGATGAATTTACTGAGCTTTTTTTTTTTTTTTTTTGTTGCTAGCAGTTAAATAATAAGTGCAATTAATAGGGCTGCTCTTGAACACTGAGGGCTGGACCAAGAGATTTCCTTTATGATTTGTAGGGCAACTATAGCTTTTTGCTGATGTATACTCTATTAAATTACAAACCTAGAGAGTCCTTTGTTGGGGTGGGTTGCAGTTTACCCCAGTGCAGTTTGGCAAAATTCCCCTGTAGACATAATTATTTGTCTGTATTGTACAACACGCAGTTAATTATTGAAAACAATGGGGAAAAATATTTTATAACACGCTTCCTACTTCTGATCTATGTGGTGGATCAAGTGGCACAGAGAAATTCTCTTGCACATATAGTGAGCCCATTGATTGAAGAACACTAGATTTCTAAAATAGATGAAAAATTATTTAAAGAGAGTAAAGAGAGAATACTGACCATTCTTTAAAACATTCAGTATTTTCTCTGACTTTTTTTCAAACTGAAATTACGCTTAGTTTGTTTTTTTGCAACCTCTGAAGAGGAAATAGATTTAAAAAAAATTGGAAGATATTTTTAAAAGTGAAGAGATGTTGGTTGCAAGAGTCTTTGCTGCTCTCTAGACTACTTTTTAATAATGAAATTTTAGATGAAGGACCGACTCTCAAACAGTTTCTTTCTGAGCTGCATAATGCAACATAACAATAGCAATTTATATAATGCATATGCTTCCTTTTGCTGTTAGCTATACTTTGAAAGAGTTATTAGTCCTAGAGCTCTCCATGTTCGGGGAATAAAAACTTCCAAAGTTTGACATCTTTAAATAAGCAACCAAATGTTATAAAGAACAAACCTCACTTACAGTTAGGAAACAATATTTACATTTAAGGTTGAAAAGCCAGGATGTAGGAAAATTTTGCTAATTTGGAAGGTGACCTTTAAGTGCACCAAAACCAAATAATTTGTAAGCTATGGCACAGGGCACATTCCTGCAAAATTTGTGTGAATACTGCTTTAGTGGTTCTTGAAAGACAAACAAAGAGACCTGGAATGAAATCTTTATCCCTCTCCCAAATAAGATTGAAGCTAACAAAGGCATACAGCAGCGCTCTTTCAAAGTTTGCCATTAAAATGAAGGCTCTGCAGCACAGCTAATGAGATGGCTCAGAGTGGAAAACAATCTGTTTTTAAGAATGTTTAGATCAAAAGTAATTTCTAATCTATGAAATAAAGTCGCTTTTCAATACCTTTCTTTCACTAGTAAAGCTTTTTATGTTTGCACTATTTACTTCAATCAGATGTTTTCAATTTTACTTTTTTTCTTCCTGAAAATACTTCCTAGTGTTAGTGGGTAGTGACCAACAGCATTATTCTTTTTCTCTTTCCCCTATTCACCCACCCCCACACATGAAAAAAAAAAGAGAAAAGAAGAGGGGGAGGAAGAAAGAAACATCTTTTCTTAAATGATTTGCAAGCATCTGTGCTTTAAGCTACTTTTTATGAACACTCCTTAGTAATGACTCAAGGTAAAAAAGCAGAAAAGCATCCAATGTTAGGAAATTGCAATCCAATACCATGTAATTTAAACCTGCCATTGCCTCTCCTGTACTAAATGACATACAGATGGGTAGCTCTGTTCCCTTTACTTTGGGAACACAATTGGTCTTTTTATGTCTGTATATACACCACTAGCAAAAAATATTTTTGTTGGGACTGTTTATTTCTAATTGTACCATATTCTAATTACTGTCATAATTAGAGTGCTTTTTCCATGCTGCATTTTGTCAGATAATTTTTGCAAGCAGTTATGAAAGTTATTTGAATATTTGGCAATTCCTGTTACTACTTCAGCAGTTTTCATTCTCAAAAGTAACCTTATTGTTATTTTTTCTTTCCTGATGTGAATTTCTGCACTATACAAATGATTTTTTACAGTAATCCTTATGTAGTCCTCGGGCTTTCTGTGTGAACTAGGCAAAACATAAGACAAGATTTTCAAAGGAGAGTAATTTCAATAGCAACCCTAATTTTTACAAGTTTATTGTTGAACCTTATACAGCTTTGTGCGTAAAGAAATGACTGCTCCTCAGAGCTCCTGTTCTTGTACTTCAACAGTGAAAAAATATAATGGTTAATTTTAAAAAAAGGACGAGGATGCAACTAGAAGTTAAATCAGCCTTACTGGGATTCTTAAGATTTGAATTGTTTTTCAGCTACTTTAAAGGGTAATGAAATTGTTGGCTGAACATCATATGCCCATTACCGTAAGTCTCCAATATAGATGTCTTGTAAAGAACATTTCAGCTGTAGTTGGTTTTTTTGCAGCTTGGTTGGGTTTTTTTTTAATGGTTGGAAAAATGTTACTTTTTTAGTGAATGATTGTGTGTGCAACAGTTTAGTGTATAACACACCAAAGGGCTTTGGCTGTAGCACATTGTCACTGCTCCAGTGGAATCACCTGGCTCTCGAGCAAAATTTTTTTAAACTTGGATTTGAAGAAATAATCAGCTGCAGTTCAGCTGAGCCATTCTTCGTGCATTTAGGGACCGGTCTGGTCATTGACAAGTGAATGCAGAAGCTATGCTGTGGCTGTCTGCCAAAGCAATTATTCAGGATTTAAGCTAAAAAGGCTCCTTCTCCCATATCCTCTCCCTTTGCAGGGTCATGTAGGGATAAAAAGGACTGTAAGGTGGTCTTTTCCCAGGAGGAGCTGAGGAAGCGGCTGACACCCTTGCAGTACCATGTCACTCAGGAGAAGGGGACTGAAAGGTAAGGCAGGATGAAGGAAACCCAGTCCTCAAAACACAGGTGTCTTTCTTTTCTCCCCCTCCTCTTACTGGTGCTTCCTCACCTTCCCCACCAAGTTGGTTTTGTTTTTTTTTTTTTCCCCCCAGGATTTCTGCACTTGTTTACTAACCCCTACAAATTAACACCACTGCAAAGACAAGCATCTGCAGCACGGGGGCTGAGGCCAGGGGTCTTGTGTGACTTTTTCTTTTAATGAACACTGCATGTCTTATAAAGTCACCCGGCTCATGTTTAGAGTCTGCTTTTAGTTTACTACAAAATGTGTGGAAGTAATAGCGGTTTAGGTACACTTTTTTTGGAAGACATCGCAGTAAGCAGAACCACGAGGGAAATGGCCCCATGCCAGGAGGCTGGAGTTTTGAAGGTGGCCATTGTAAGTATAGACATTTTGGCTGCAGAAAGAAGGTAGCATAATTTAGTTCTTTTCCACCCCACTCCAATTTCTTTTTGAAGCGCATGTGGAGAAGGTATTTATTGGCTCATTTGTGGTTGGAATGTCAAAAATTTTCAATAACTGCCCTCACATGGCTTTAGTCGCTGGAAGCCAGCCCTGAGTCCTGGAGGAAAAAAAGAAAAAAAGGACTTGCTTCCAAGACTGTTTTTAGTGAATAAAGTCTCTCTCTCAGCTGATTCCAGCAGGAAGGTAACTTGCCAAGGCCTAGCCATTTTTTGTTGTCTAATTTATACCACTGAGCTTGGCATAAGGCCCTGGCTTTACCTCTGCTCTGAACGTACTAATGATGTAACTGCTTGTTTTCATTCATGACCTGAAAGGGCTCTCCACCGCACGTGGGGTCTTGGTTAATCGGCGGTGCTCTTCCTGACAGCACGTACTGGCGGCCGAATTTGCTGAGGGGGGGCGGTGGGGACAGTCCCTCTCTCCGCCCCAGCCCCCTTTGTCCTCCCGCAGCCCCGGAGGGGTAGGGGGACGTTGGCCTCCTCTGCTGGGAGGCCTGGCCTTCCCCCCGGCCCGCCTTGCTCTTGTGTACGGGACCAACAACGTGATTTAATGCACACAAACAATCGGAGATTAGGTCATTCTTAAAAATCCTGTTTATAAAAAAAAAAATTGGACCTCATAAAAAGGGTGAAAGGATAATAAAAACAAGCTGCCGAGCACATAGGCTTTTTGTTGGGCTAGCGCAGCTGATTCATATTAGATGAATGACCTCCTAGCCTTTTAGATTGTTAACTTAGAAAAATATTCCCTTAAAGCTGTAATATTGCTTTTCAGCTGAAAATATAAGGTGCACACAGCTTGAAATCATGGACCAATTATTTCATTTTCAGCTACAATGCCTCTGCGGCCCGGCAGCCCGTCACGGCCTGACCCAGCACCGCAGCGGCAGGGCTCCCAGGCGGCAGCGCCCGGGCGCGGCACACCTCTGCCTCACAGCTGGGCCCGCCACCAACACACTTCCCAAAGACAGACCTAGAGAAGTGCGTCAGGTTGAGCTACGTGTCAAACAATCCGTGTTTACAAAAACTTACATTTCACTTGCCAAACAGGAGAAGGTTCCAGTTTTTCCCTTTTTGTTGTTGTTGTTCTGTCCTTTGAACTGTGGGACAATCTGCTTCCTCTTGCATGATACATAACACCTGAGGCACACTAATGAGGACATTCCCCTTTTCCTGTGCCTGCTTTATTTGCTGCCTTTAATAAAAAACAACTGCCAACTTTTAAATAGTTTTTTCTGCAGCATTTTTCTGAAGTCTTAGCTAATTTAATAATTTTAAAAAACCCTAAAATTCCTTTATTTATTTTTAAAATGTTGTTTAAAGTGTTGTTGTTTTCCCAGTGCCTTTGAGGGGGAGTACACACATCATAAAGCTCAAGGAATATACAAATGTGTTGTTTGTGGAACTCCTTTATTCAAGTGAGTATGCTAAATATAGTTTTGAGGTTTGTGTCTCTTAGTTTATGTGCTGTGTTCCTGTGTAATCTTGTGTATATTCCAGTACTTATGTAATTGTATAAGATCATTTAAGTCATTCAAATTGACAAGGGATACATGAGAAGGAGTGTAAATAATAACACTATAGTTAAATTAGTCTTATAGTAAAGATAAAAAAAATTAAAGATAACATTCTGGCAAAATAGGTAATTGACTGTAAAAAGTAGTAATTCTTTTTTTCCCTCTTCTTCTTAAACAGCCATACCAACTAATTGTAACACAGTCTTTCACTGCACTGACACTGAGTTTTGGCTGTTAGCATTACTCATAGGTAGCTTTAAGATCTGGATCCTGGGCAGCAATGCTGCATCCATGCTACAACATTGTATCTGATAATGGAGAAAAAAGATTTTTTTTTAGAATTCAAGCAGTTAAGAAAACAAAACCCAGGAAAATTGCATGACTTATTGAATTTTGTTGCATCATAATTAGCACATATGGAGAGCTAGGTTAGGAACAGAGGCAAGGATTAAGAAAGAAGTAATAACTTTCATGTCTTGCATGAAAAATACTCTTTAGAAGCACTGTCGGAATTACGGCCCTAAATTTGGTGCTAGAAGCAATGATGATTGAATTGTCTCAATCACTGCATTGTTCTGCATGGATTCAGTTGTTTTTTATGTGTTTTTTCTTATTTCTGGCTCCTTGTGGTCATTCTGATGAACAATTTCATTTTTTTGCTTGCTTTTCCCCTCAGTTCACACTGACTCAGTCCCTCTCACTTGAAGAGGTACCTTTACAGCAGCATGAAGCAGGATGGTCAGGATAGCGCTAATAATAGAGAAAATTGGGTCAGTAATAGGTTACAAAGGAAAATAAAAATGATGTAGCTCCAGAATCATCAGATGTGGCAGTGATAGTTGTTCTCAAGAGACTGCCTGTAAAGATAAAAGAAGCACTTCATCTCTATGTTTGATTCGTCCTTTCTTATGTTAGGAGGATTACCTGCAGAAACTTCAATAATAATGTGAATCTTCTGCGTTAGAAAACTGATCATTACAAACTCAGTCAAGGCAGTATTCTCATGTCATGTGTTACTGTGGTGCTTGGCTTGGGGGTACAAAGTGGGGATCTAAACTCTCCATTACCTGGTCTTCTACTCTGACATTTAGACATTCCCCTGCTCACTATAGCTAAATCTTTATGGAGTAAATCCTAGCTCTGTTGAAGTCAATTCAGATTTGGCAAAAGAATACCATGGAGCCAGGATTTCACCTTCTGCCTTCAAGACTGGCTTCCTTTCTATCGTCTGCTGGAGAAACAGTAGTTTTTTAGTGGGGTGAGATTTGGACAGCAGTTCACATAAACAAATGTGAGCTAGTTTCCAGTTGCTTTCACAATCCATTTAGTATGGGAAAAAAATTGCAATATGAGACTTACCTGTGATTATCTCAAGTGCACAGTATGTTTTGGCGTAGTCGTGACTCTTTTGAATTAATAAGTTGTATTTCTCTATGTGAAATGAGCTATATGGAAATGTCCCTGTTTTCAGATTCTCTTTGAGACTCCCCATGGATTTTATGGGAGGAGAGAGGGAAAGAAAAAAAAAAATCCCAGGCCATTGGGCACCTGAAAAAAAAACCCCTGCTGATTGTGTCCCAAGGCTGGACTGGCCTTAGCCCAATCTCCCCAAAGTCTTTGAGTTGCATTGTGAGCTCTTGCCACCTCTGGTCTACATCAGTTGTTCAGAAGTGGCTGGCAAGGGTGGGAACGAATGGAGAGGCCAATAGGCGTCCATCTATCTTTTGTTTGCCAAACTCGAAATATCAGTGTACAATGTCTTCCTCAACTAGGGAAGATACATCCCTGTATCTTGGTGACTGCTTCAGTCCAAACAGCTAAAAGAGTGAGAAGGAAACAGATAAGACAATGGAAAATGTATGCTATTTACTAGATTTTCCCCACAGAGTGTAAATCACCAAAGCATTTTCTTAGGATTAAGGTGGTAGTACAATACAAAGAAAGTCCATTGTTCCATCACAAATGCAAGTTGGTTTTGTGGTGGATTTTTTTTTTTTTAATTTCCAGATATCATCTGAAACTTGCATTTCCATTTGTTTCTCATTGGGTGTCCATTAATTTTTTTTCTTTGTGTGGTTGTAATCTGTAAATATATATATTTGGACTATGGGCCTGTCAGTTTAACTGGGAAAGAGACTGGAGCTTCAGCAGTAATATTAACAAACTTCAACTTTTAACATTTCTGATTTACGTTGTTTCATTACCATGTGACACATGAGGTCAGGGAACACATGAATTTTACACTCCAGATGAAAGACCTGGGGTTTGGTACGTCTTTAAAACAGAACTCTGTCTGTATCACAGGAAAGATAAAAGAAACAATTAGGAATTTAACATCTCTTCATCTACCTACTTGTACTAGTGTTATGAGAAACCTCCCAAGCTTTATGGAGAACATGCTTTAACTTTTTCCACAATCAAAGGTGCCTCACACATAAAATACATAATCATGCCATTGAATCTAATTATTCCATCTCTGAACTTTCACGCCAGACAGTCTCCTACATCCCAGTACAGCTGCCTAAAGAAAGCAATAAATGAGAGAGACAATAAACTAATCTAAAGGACCTCCTTTTTCTGCAAGCCAGCCCTTATGTGGTTTTGTGTTATGCTTACTCCAATCTGGCTGCAGGCTTATGCTAAAAGAAGCGGCCCTACTCCCCCCATCTTTCTCTAGGGTGTTTTTTCATAGCTTCCCCTTCACTGGCCCTCACCTGGTGTGACTGGAGCATGTCTCTCTATGCAGCACATTGATCTGACAGAAAACTCATCAGCCAAATAGAAAACCCTCATGCTTATCAACTATACCTGCTTGTGTTAATTTTTTGTGAGCCACGTTTATCATGGCTGGACAGCCTCTGCCATAAGGTTGTGTGGAGCACCACCTGCGCCACTTGAATCCTCAGCATTTTCTAGGGGCCAAGTGTATTTTCAAGATTGCACCTACTTTTTCATGGCCTTTTTGTGTACCCTATGCAAAAACACCATTCTGTCCACAGCCATGGCAAGAGGAGGTTAGAACAGACCCCAGTGAAATCCACAACTTGCGCTATTGCCGTAGGAGAGGAGCTACTCCATATTTAATAAACCACGGTCATGTCCTTTACCATATGCAGGACTGTGTGAGAAAGATGTGGTATAGATGGGAACTGGGAAGCCTGGGAGAATTATTTCCTTTTAAAAAAAGAAATATTATTGTTGTGTCAGTTTCCAATTTTTAGGGCCAAGGAATGAATTGCCAAGTCTTCATAAATCACCCACTGCTGCCTTTATTGTTTCCTGGAAGGAATTCTTGGTAATGGTGTTGGCTCTTCTGAACATGCGCTAGGAGAAATAGCAACACCCTTATTCATGTGATGTTTTCATTTGATTTTCGTTGAACTGTGTCAGGTCTTCTCAACATCCCTCAGACATCCAAAAGCAAATAATGAGAAGAGCAAAGCATGGCTGGGCAACATTGCAATGCCATTTAGCATTGTACCACTCTTGTCTTCACAACACAAGGCAGGATTTCAGTCACCAGGCTAGATCTGTACAAGGAATTTTCTTGCCCCATTGCTGAGTGCTTAATTAATGGTCTTTAAGCTTTCTTAATAATCTTTATATCCTTTGAGCAGGCCAAATGACAAATCAGCACTGGCTGTCTGACTAGGAGAGCCCATATGAAGCAACCTCTGTAGCATCTCCAATAAGATCTAATAGAACTACATGAACAATTTAATCCACCTTGACTGACTCTTAGTTTTCTCACAAAACTTTGTCAAAACCAGCAGCTTCTGTTTAATAACATTTGTTTGGAGTAAGTTGTCTCTTGCCAGTGTAGGAATTTGTCAGCAGGCAGTATTATCAAACAGTTCTTATCTAAAACCAGGTTTTTACTAGGTGTTGAGTAGCTCCAGGAAGCTTGAGGTTCTTAAAACTTGCAAGAGTTTATGCAATTTTTTGTGGCTATCCTCTAGAAAAGGCTGATGGAGTTTAAAATGAGTAAAGTTGTTATAATCAAGCATTGTTTTCTTCTCACCTCACCATTTTTTGGTTGAAACCAGCCATAGTTTTGAGTCTGCCATGTCACTTCTGGATGACAGATTGTTATGCAGTCATAATCATTTTACCAAAAATCAAGATAGGAGAGTGCTTGTCTTCCTCAGAGCCATCTTGAATCTTGAGGTTTAATCCACCTTTGAGAATGACCATCAATATGAATGTCATATTTACTGCAGTCCCTGCAATTAAGTTGCTTTGTGAATACAGCCCATGGCATCTTCCACATCTGAACGTACCTCAGTCCTGAATCCACATCTAATCCTACCTGAATACTGAAAAATGTGCTAAGCTGTGTATAGCTTAGCACAGCTGTAGCATGGGGCCATCGTTGGAGCTTGACCTGGCAAGTACTAATTTCTCTGGTGGTTTGGAACAGGACTTTGACCTCCTGGTCCTCAAGAGCCCCTTGGATCAAGAATGGTACAATTCTGCCCTTGGGTGGGGCTGCTGGGCAGCTCTCAGGGAAAGGTTCCTTTCACTGGATGTTTGGCAAGTGTGGCGCAGAGGAGCTGCAGTCATTATACCAAATGATTAAGCGCTCCTAATCAACTCATAGGTAGTTTTTAATATCCTCTAACTGGCAGCTTCCTGGCTGCTGCTGAATGTTCATTTCCCTACCCTCATATAAGCAATGAAGTCTGGAAAGATTTCTATGTTAAGTATTAGGAGAGCAAGAGCAAGTTCGGAAAACGAAAAACACTTAATCTCATTTTTTTGCTCGATCCACAAGCCACCTGGTCTTGTTTTTCAGTATATTAGTTCTATTGTACTGAGCTGGTTGCTGCCCACAAAGGTAGTCAGGCACTGTCTGAATTACTGCAGGCCAAGGTGCCTGGCTACACAAGGAGCAAGTCAGA